AAAAAGTTTAAAAATGAATAGCAAGCTACTGAGGCCTTGTCCTACCACCTCATGCCTGACCAGAGGTACTGTCAGATGCATTGTGGACAGGGCTTCCTGAGAATGCCTTGAAAAGAAGGGGATTGTGGACAGGGCTCGTGAGAATGCCTTGAAAAGAAGGGGGCTGACAAAGCAATAGGGCGTCCTCCCACTACTGTCGACATGCTCAAAAGACACAAATCATGGCCGTGTATCTTTCCATGTTCTAGAGGAAAATTGATTCTCATTTTGCACGAGGCCCATAGATTGCTCCCCCCGCCTCTCACGCGGAGTCACGTGAGAAACAGAAGACATTCTTCTTCCGAAAAAAAAAAACAAAAAAAACAAAGGCAAAATGTCATTTCAACCTCTGAACTACTTGACGTGTATCTACCCATGTTCTACAGGACTATACATTCTCATTTTGCACATTCGGTGAGTGGTGGAGCGAGGCCCTAGATCTTGATAGCTCTTTTTTTGCGTTTTTTTTTAGTAAGCCCTGCCAACAAGGCAGGGCACTCCCTTCTCGTTTTTCAATACTTCATAGCAGTAAACAGATGAATGCTTCCCATATTTCTCAGGAGATGCAGTTCAAACTGAAAAAAAAAAAAAAGCAGAAACGCCCCAGGCCCAAATAGTCCGCCCCTATTTTGAAACGGGAAAAAATGCCACCCCTCAAAAGGGAAACTGTGGACGGCGCCTTATGCTGATTTCCGAACGACCTGGACAAGCTAACCTGCCCTATGACCGGTCTTAGGGACGACTGCGACCGGACCCTTTTTCTGCTTTCGGAAACCCCAAACGGACCCATCTTAGCAACGCTGTACTGCACGACATTACCCAAAATGGAAAGGACACGAAATGACGAAATGCAAACCACACAAGGCCCAGCCTCCTGGCTGCAAGCTAGGCTACCAGCCTGGCCTTTCCGGGTCACCCTGTTTTCCCGGGGTCACCCTGTTTTCCCGGGGGCGTCCCGGCCCTTTCTGTCTTTATCAGCTCGTTATCAAACAACAGTTGACTTGCTATCTCTGATTTGGAGGGCGTTCCCTTAAGGCTGATGGTCTGATCTTCCCCCATGCTCTGAGTATGCCTGACCAGATTCTCGACTTCACTTTCCGTCGCAGCATATCTGATTGGAGCAGACATGTCCAGACATGATCATCGTCCTCCAGGGACCAATCTCTCTTGAAGATACACTCCGCAAGTTTGACCCAGAGTTTGCTTCCTGTATTCTCCATCATTGCTTTTACGAGCCATTTCCCTAGAAGAGCGATGTTTTGGTCTCCTGGGTCGAGTACCCCCAGACCTCCTTGAGTTCTCGGCTGGGCTATGGTTTCCCAGACCACCTTGGGCATAAAACCTTGGTCTTCATTAATTTTGCCGCTGGTTTCCACAAGTACCTGGCAGCCACTCTGTTAATCGCTGAGTATGCCCTGTCCCCCAGCCAGTGAACCACTAGAGGATACCACAGTAATGAGAAGGCGGCAGAGGACAGGACCATTGCTCGGAGACTCCCAAAAAGGAGGAGTTTATGGTTCCTTATTCATCCAATAATTCTGGTGGCGATCTTCCCCTGCAAGATTTTGTCTTGATCTGCTGAATAGTCAGTAAGAGCAGCTTGGACTCCCAAAAAGTGTTCTGAAGATCCAGCAAGGACTTCCTTGAGACCCTATTGCACTGCTATAGTGTAAGGGGGGGGCAGAAAATAAGTAAGAGTTATCCCAATTTATCGATGCCTTGGACAACTGACAATAATCCTCTAATACAAGCCTAAGCTCCGACAGAGAAGAGTGAGAATTTTCGCAGGCAATCGTTAGGTCATCTGCGATTGATCCCCCCTTCCATTGAATGGAGGGAGAGAGTGTCAACCCAGTTGGGGGCACCCCAGACATAGGGACCTAGTCAATCTGAAATCCTCTGACAAATGGCCGTTCACTATGACCTACGAGGAAGCTTGGGAGTACATTGCCTTCACATAGGAGAGGAAGTAAGGTCCAAAGCCCATTTTTGACAAAGTCGTTAGGACAAAGGTCCAACCTACTTTGTCATATCCCTTCTCCTTACCCAGGAGAAGGATTGCCACCTCCCGTTTTTCGTTTGAGATTATTTCCAGTGTTTGTAGGGTTGTCATTATATTTTCAAAAATAGAGCGTCCCTTCACAAATGCACCTTGTTCCGGTCCTACTATCGTTGGCAGCAGTTCCGCCAGCCGGGCGGCTTGGGCCTTGGCCAGAATTTTATAGGCCACATTTAAAAGTGAAATTGGTCTGTAATTCTTAACCTCTGCCTCGTCCCCCGTTGGGCCCAGGACACTTTCCCCAGGTCATTTTGTTGACTGCCTGAGTGAGTTCTTCTAGGGTGAACCGTTCATCCAATGACTGGGTGGCTGCTGTAGATAATGTAATTGTAGTTTTGTCCCAAAAGGTACAAGAACTGATTTGTGACAGGTCTGTATCCAAAGTGTCAAAGGGTCTCCTGGTAGAGACTATGTCTCTGAAATAGTCAAAAGTATGAGTGCACATAGCCTTCAACTCCAAGTTAGCCCTTGAGTCAATAGCAAAGGGGTGTCTAAGTTCCCTGATCAGGGGTTTGGCCTGGCGGAGAACTGGAGATCTAAAGGATATTTTATTCATTTGGTCGTAACCCCGATTATACCCCTAATTTTTAACCACTCCAGCCACTCCAGTTGTTTCTAATTTTCCATCTGACAGTGTTCGAGTTGCAGTATGACCTCCCTCCTTTTCTCATTCCAATAGTAATCTAAGAAGGGGGGATCTCCCCCCATTGAGCTTTCTGCCTGTTCAACTACCCGTTTTAGTTGTGACTCTTTCCACGAACGATTAACCGCCTTCATTCATGAGGAGTTCATTAAGGCCACCCTGATTATGTTGGTTCTGACCTCTGCCCAGTCTTAAATATCTTCGCAAAGGTTATTGGCCTCTGACCAATGCGACATCTGATCATTGATCCATTTTTTCATCCCTTCATCCTTTTGTAGGTTTACATTTAGGCGGAATGAGGGACGTTCCCTGTTTATGGTTTTAAAGGAGACCACATCCATCAAGACTGGGTAATGATCCGATAGTGAAGCAAATTGTACTTCACACCAACAACATCTGTCTCATGGGGCTCCCCTTGCCATAACAAGATCCAGCCGACTACGAGGGGCCGGAGTATTGTTCGAGGGCTTGGGGCCATACCAGGAGAACCCATTCGAGTCAGGATTTAGTTCTCAGTATACGTCGGTGGGAGTATGTGTTTAGTAAGGTCGCCAAAATCGCTGCATCTGCTCTAATCGGAAAGACAAACAGAGAATCCAAACCTGGTTTCCTTACCGTATTACAATCTCCTAACAAGAATAGGTTTTCTGTTTCAGGCAGGAAAGCTGGGAGGTTTGCTCGGAAATCTATCTGTTCCGACAATTCCACCAGGGCACAAATTGAGGCAACCACCCATTCCTCTTCTCCGATTTAAAGTTTAATTCAGGTTATCCGACTTTTTGAATCCGTATCGGAATCCACAATCCAGAATTTGGCATCAAGGTCCTTGTTACTAACTAGAGTGACCACCCCTCCGCCGGTTCCTTCAGGCTTCAGCAGGGGACCAGACTTGCGGTCCTTCCCAAAACCGATCTAAATTTCTTAGTTCTTTTTAGTTCAATTTGGTTTCCTGAATCCCAATTATGTGTATGTTGTTAGAGTGGATCCAGGAGCGGAGTCTCGACCGTTTACATTTTTTGTTAGTATCTCCCAATCCACAAACATTCCAGGATACTAATCTCAACTTAGTTGGCTGAACCATCAGCCACATTCAGCCCGGTATCTTGGATGAACCTTGTTTGACAAGGGGGGCGTTTTTTTTCCCTTCTTTTATTTTTCTTTCGGACTGTCGTACCATCTAGAGATTCTGGGTCAGGCTGGTACCTTACAATCGTTCCATAATATCAGTGTATCTCATCCATTCAATGATCACAGTTCCGGTCCATCCTGCAGGCATTTGGAGATTTCCCACCGTCTCTGTTTTATTGGTCAGAAAATCCTGAAGGGGATCCAGTGGACCTGAAGATCGTACCATTTATCAAAGGACTCACTGATGATTATGAGACCCATGACCACCATGTGGAAAACCACCGGGGGTCGCTGTTGTACCTATGAAAGATATCTATGACTTTGAAGAAGGGGAGGACTGCAACAGTCCCCGTGTGGTTCAACACATGGTGTTTAACAAGTTTTGCCACCACCTCCTCCTCTGAAGGGGGGGTCGAAACTGGTATAGATGGGATTTCCAACCCATCCTCGTTTGTGACTTTAGATAGAAGCATTGATCCAACTATCAAATCAAAGCAGATTAAGGGGATTGCAAACTGTTTAATTGGGCCCTTAACCTTTTCTGCTTTCGAGAGGGTCCTCATTGGGGCAGCAAGGGAGAGCTCTCTCTTGGTCTTACCTGCAATGAGGGTTCTCTTCCTGCCCGTAACTTTTAATCGGTCAAAATATTCCGGAGAAAAGTCTCCACCATTGGGGCTCTCCACTCCGGTTTTGTAATTGTGTCTGACCTTTTTAGCAGGAGAACCTCTTCTTACTGTTGACGTAGCTGAGTCCTGCGAGCATTGAAATCTTCCCAGGTTGTGAAACGAGAAGGCATCTTTAGTTGTCAGAAAATCTCCCTCCTAAAATAGGGATTCGTGAATGGTCTTTAGTGGGTTCCCTGGTGTTTTCACCGAAAGAATATGCAGTGCCACCGAAGATTCTCCTCTTGATCTAACCTCTCCAGATGGCAGTGCCATATTCGGTGAGGGGGTACTAAGGCCGCCCCCTGGGACTTCCTGATTTTCCTCGTCCTGAACAAAAAACTGATTGTTATAAACTGAGGAACTAGCATGAAAGTTTGGATGGGCACCATGTTGAAGGATTGTGTGAGTCAACGCGTCGTCCAACTTTTTCATTTTAATAGTGCCCGAGGGCTCTAACATTCCTTCTGGAGACTGCTCCTTCAGAGACCATGCGGCGTCTCCGTGTGATTAAATTTTCCAGATACTCTTTTTTTTTTTTTTTTTTGAGCAAAACGGCCCGAACGGTTGCTAGGGGTGCTGATGAGTGCAGACTTGCGAGCCTTGCTCATTTTCCCCGTCTCCGTGTGATTAAATTTTGCAGATACTCTTAACTTGCGAGCCTTGCTCATTTTCCCCAGCTCATTCTTCTCCCCTTCTCTACTAACTGGGCAACCCCCCTTGTCTTTACCGCTTTCCTGATCGTCAATTTTATCCTCTCCTTTCCCACTCTTGACTTTGGGTGATTACCCGTCTTTCCTCTCATCATCTTTTCCCCCACCTTCGTCCAGATAACCCGTTGCTTCTCCCTTACTAACATCCCCCTGTTTCTCATTTCCCCCTTCAGACTCCTTTTCGTCCTCATTTCCTTTGGAGTTTTCCTCCTCATTACTCTCTTCCTCCTTATCTTCGCCAATCTTGGAGTTTTCCTCTTTCTCCTCTGCCCCTTCCATCTTTTTCTTCCCTCTTCCCTCTTCCTCTTCCTCTTCGTTGTCCTCTTCTTCCTCCTCTTGCTCCTCCTTTTCACTGTCCCCTTTTCCCTTCTTTTCCTCCTCCTCTTCTTTCGTTTCCCCTTCCCCCTCTTCTTCCTCCTCCTCCTCTTCTTCTTTCTCCTCTTCCTCATCACCCACCTTCTCCTTCTTCGTCTTTGTTAACCACCAGTACTTGGCCCATACATCGGCTGCGGGCCGTTGCCGTTAACGCTACGCAAAGTTCAGGCTTCGGGGTACCGGACCTCAATGGCTGGAAGCACCAGCCAAAAAAAATTGAAACGGTACTCTGGCGCTTCGGCAAAAATTGGCGCGCAGGGGGATTCCAGGCTAGTAGTTGGGCCAAGTACTGGTGGTTTAACTCTTCTTCTTCTTCGTCATCCTCTTCTTCCTCTTCCTCTTCCTCTTCCCTTGACATCTCAACCGCTTTGTCTGATGTTTTTCTCTGGAGACTTTTCCCCATCTATCTTTACTTCCAAGTCCCCCTCACTATCCCCCATCTTCGTATCATTGAAGTTGGTTCGCTCAAAATCCCTGGCGGGTTGTTGAGTTCCATTCCGGCTCATGGGTGGTTTAGTAAGAATTCTTTCTTTCCAAACCACCATCTCGCTACCGCTCACATGTCCTTCCTCTTGGAGACTCTCCGGGCCGGAGGGTTTTGACTTTCTCTCGTTGCGCTTCTTGTTTCTACGCGATTGCTTCTCCCTGTCTTCCTCGTTTGCTTTCTGCTCACCCATGGGCTGGTTTGATTCCTTTTCAGACCCCTTCTCCGACCCCTTTTCCGAAGGATTTTGGCCCTATTCAGGACCTTTTCATTTGTTTGCGTCGTTATTTAACCCTTTCCCCCCCCTAAGGACCTTTTGGAGCCCATGGAGATCCTCTTTGGCGCCTGCAGGGGGAAGCCCGGGTCCTTGGAGGAATGAAAGTAACGTCGACACGATTCTCACCAGGGGCTATTGCCACATATAACTTCAATTTCCACGTGGTTCTTTTTCAGGTAATCCACCAGAAAGCACGTTTTGTATTTCATTCTTTTTTTTTTTTTTTTTTTCAAGGTCGAATCGGATATTCAACAACTCCCGTTTACTCGGTTCGTTAAATGATGGGTGTGTTCTTAAGATTTTGCCGAAAACATCTTCCACCGCTGATTCTAATTGAGGCGTGACTGAAATCGGTACTCGTAAACAACGGATCCAAAAAAGATGAAATCTCATGGCTTCCCTCCACTCGTGGAGCTGATTGTCGTTCATCCACTGCCGGAAAGCGAATATGTTTTATTGTCCAAAACAATTTTATCATGCTTTTTTCCGAAGCATGAATGTGGCAATTTGACTTGAGGACGAAACATATGTGACGGAATTTCAACATTCATTGTGAAATAATCCTCTCTTTGGAGGAGCGTTTATCGAACGGTTGATCGCCCATCCGTCCTCATAGGTACGAACGATCCCTTTTTTCACATCGACCGGTAGTGAGGTGGCCTCATCTCCGACGAGAATCATAACAGCGTGCTCCTTAAGCCATTCGACTTGTATACTGTAGATTTCCGGGTTGACTATTACACGAACATAGTTTTCCCCTATATACGTAATGTTTGCAGATAAGGGCTTCGGTAATATACCATTTATATAGCAAGAGCCAATGATGCCCTTGATTTGTTGTTTTCCTGCATCAGAGATAGGGTTTATTGGAGGGGGAGGAGGAGGGGTTAGAGGAGCATTCGAGGGGGAGAGGTTCTGGTCCCCATCTCGGCAACTTCACAACTGACTTGACTTCCCGAGACACTACAACAGTTACCAGAGCTGAAATACTTTTGCCTCAGGGTCACACATCGAAAGTCTTAACCAAATTAAAAAAAAAAATATATATATATATATATATATATATATATATATATATATATCGTCAAATAGAATATATATATCGTCAAATAGAACTGCCCGGTAAACCGTAGGCAGAGAGGGAGAAGAGGACAACAAACGA